CCTATCGTTTCGAGTTGCGCTACATCACTTCCCGACCTAAAGTTAGACCCAACTTGATCCTTGTCGCATAACTCATTCTCGATGCCACCCCCAGTACTTCTCAAGGCATGGTCTCCATAGCTCGCAAGCTCAATGAAATTCTGGAGAGATATACCAGAATTGCGCTATTAATAAACACTAGTAAACATAATGTATGTTCACTAAATTGCGGAAGCAAGATTCTACAAAACATGAACCTTCAGAAAAGCATCCCGCTATCCCTTCGAAACTCTTTCATATATTTTGGTGTTTGGCCCATTGCACTTAAGAGTTACAACAAAGACTCCCTCTTATATACATGCAATTTAATCACCTATACAACTACTTTCCCGACCACAAATCCTTTGTCGATGCCTACAACACGAATCCCTCGTATTGTTCTAAGTGTTCCTCCCGAACACCTATACTATCTCAAAGTATATTCACCTTTGAGAGTTCCAACCTCCTTATCTTTATCACCTGCAATTTTCTGCACCGAAAAAAGTTCAGTTCTTAAAGATTCAATGACCTGGTCCTTTTTTTAACTTGTATCCTTGGATAACTTCAATCCATTTTCCAGAATGACAGTTCGTGCAAGTGCAGACTGAAGTTCAACCTCCTTATCATGCGTAAAAGACGAGGTCAATTGGTCATTAAGTGTGTCATTGATCTCTCTCATGTTCTGGAGCTCCTTCTTCAGGTATTCAACATCTTTGTCCTTGTCAACCTGATGTACGTTCATCTTGAGAGACTTAATTTGAGCACGCAGATTTTTCATCACTTTTGCAGCTTGTATACATTTTTCCATCGCTAAGAGATGTACGGGATCAGTTTACGTGCTCGGATCTGTAGAATCATTAGATCCATCATAATCATAATTATAATAATAATGAAGGTTCTTACCAGATTCAAAGCGAGAAGGACTATATGTAAAGGTAAGCCAGAAAAAATCGTTGAATACAGGTAAACTGAAATTTTTAAGCGGAATATTTAGTTTATATATAGATGTTTCGAAAAATATAGTATTCTCCTCATATATAATTACAGAATGCGCTGAGCCTAAGTGACGGCTTCGCATGCTTCGTCATCTCATTATCTTTCTTTTTCTAATGTGCATATTATCTCACTTTCTAAATTTTTCATTTTTGCCCATATAATTCTCTTATGTGTTTTAAATAAAAATTTAATAAATAAAACTAATGATATTGTAAACTTTTCCTTAAATATCAGAGCGCGCTTTTCGCAATTACATTCAAAATAAAACATTTTACATTGCGAAATACTGATTCGGAGTGCTACTAAAATACATAGTTGACTGAAAAATCTGGACTTTTGGTTTGAAAAACCAACTACTAATTCGCCGACTGATTCATTTGACTAAGAATGACGAACAGTAAAACATCAGCGAAAACTGTAGTGGTGAATTTGGATAGCAGTACCGTAATCGTGAAAACAAGTTTGCTGAAAAATATATCGGCACTGCTTTGCCAAATTCAAGCTGTACAAAACCTAATTTAAGCTTTATAAGCATAAAGCTTAGGCAATTTAAACTTTATAAGCATAGTC